AAATGTCAGCGATTTGCTCTTTTCTCCTTGGTGTGTGTAACTTTCTTTTATGCTGCCCATCCTGGCTTTACGAGTGGCTAAGCAAACACGAGAGGGAGAATTAAGCTGATGCCTGTCTCTTAGCTTTCCTGCCTTTGTAACATGATCATTAGGTACAGCATCTTCCCCTTGTTGCATTGTACTTGGCCGCACGCTGACAGCCTGTGTGCCCGGTGCACACGAGCCACAGCTTGCACCAACGGGCTTTATGAATTTTCTTTAGAGCTGGAAGCACTGTAGGAGCTTTGCATGTGACCGTTTTGTGCAATGGGGAGCAGGGTAAGGGGGGTCCAGGGGGCAGTGGCTCAGATGGCTGGTCTGGTTTGGAAAATAAATGATCCAAGTTTGCTAGACCTTTGGCTCTACATTCTGATCCCAATTTTTGTGACTTTTTCTATACATGTTGTGGATTTCTGGGAGTGAGACATCAATAGTATTCAGTGAATAGCTATTACTAGCAGTTATGTGTGGGATGCTGTGCCAAGTCCTGGGAAATGATAAGATAAAAATGTTACAGTCCCTGCTCTGAGGGCATTTGTAATTCATCAAAAGAGAGAAATGGAAGAGGGCACAGTCCTATGTGAAAGCAGTCATCACTGAGTTTATGCACAACATACTTGGCGTGCACAGGGGCGCTGGTGCTAATTAGAGAAAGGCTTCCCAGAGGAGGTGGCGAACTGGGCTTTCAAGGGTTGGCTTGCCTGTCAGAGGATGGAGTGATCTTGGCAGACAGACATTATACCCAAGGCGCAGAGACACACCCCGGGGTGGTGCGTGAGGGAAGTGGCAGGTGGCGCGAGGTGGTTGCTTACAGCGCAACATGGTGGAGCACAAGGCCCAGACTGGAGGGCAGGCCTATGGATGGGGGGCCCTGCTCTCAGTTTGAAGCACATCGTGTAGAATTTTAAAGCATTGCGCGTTGTGGTTAGAAATGTCTATTTTAGGAAGATTGGTTGAAGGGTAGATTGAAAGGAGGCGAGAACTGATTCTACGGAAGTAGTGCCAGCAAGAGATGGTGAGGCCCACGGTATGAATGGAGTGGATATGGTCGGCACTTGGAGAGGAAATCTTTAGTGCATGAACAAAATGAAGATAGAACCTTGGGGTCAACCTGCCTTTGAGATATGGGCAGAAGAAGCAATCTGTGAGACACTGAGTGGTGTATTGGAACGCAAAGGAGGGGGTATATTTCCAACAAGTGTGGTCACACTCAGCAGTATTTATTAGAGGGACAACCGGGACAGGACTGATAAACGAACACTACAGATGACAGGCCGAGGTCATTGGCGATCCTTAGGGAAAATGACAGGTGATTCTAAACAACACGGGGGTTGGGGGCTCTGATCCTTCATGCAGTCGAAAATTCATATATAAATTCTGACTTCCTCGGAACTTAAGTACTAGTAGCCTGCCTCTGACTGGAATCCTTACTGATTACATAAACAGTTGATTAACATGTATTTTTTGTGTTATATGTAATATATACCATATTCCTACTGTAACGTAAGCCAGAGAAAACAAAATGTTATTAAAATTGTGAGGAAGAAAAACATATATTACAGCATTTATTGAAAATATCTGTAAGTGGACCCATACAATTCAAACTTATGTTTCCTCAAGGGCCATACATTACAGCCCCATGAGAGTGGAGAAAACAGCGCTTACTGTATTCAGAATCTATCTCTGTTCCACACGAATGTAACTATAAACTACATGCATTTGTGCCAGGGAAGATTCACAAACATCTAGCACTCTGGGTGCTTGGATTGGGGGTAGAGGAGAGGGAAGCATAGGGTCAGTGCTAAGTTCAAGTCTCCCTGAACAATATCCCTGCCTCCTGCTTCTCAGGGTCTCTGCTTCCTTGCAAATACCATTACTCTAATTGTGCCATTTTGCCTTATCACTGTCGGCATACTGTAGAACGCAGATGCTCATAAATCTCTTCTAGTTCCAAACCGTAACTCATGTCTAGCCGTGATGCTCTAGTGGGTGCAGTGGCATGCCACCCAGACCTGCTTTCCACTACTGAGGCCCTCATTGTCCACCTGTGGGGAGGGTAGGCAGCTAGTGATGGTTCTCACCGGGGAATTGTCCTCAGCTGAAGCAGCCTGCTCCACCCGAGCAGTGATGAGTCAGTGGAGGTGGGATATAAAGGCTCCCGTGCCTCATGGTAGGATACTTTTGAAGAGTCACCCCAGACTCACAGCACCTGTGCTTCCCAGATGAGCTCTTCTGTCTGCTCAGTCAAGTCCTTCTCCCTTCAGTCCCCTGCTGTGCATATGCCGGTAAACTCCCTCTGTGGTTGAAATTCAGAGTCCATTTCCTGGGGAACCAACCTAAGTTGCTAATTGTTTTCAGTTTGGTTGCCTACCCACCCAAGAGGGTCACCAGTCAAAGTCTGTAGTCCCTCTGACCTTTGCTTCTGATCCCCTTGGGCATGTCCAGTGGGAAGAACCTCTCTCCCAGTAGCTGGAACAAAAGTCTTGGCATTGAGCCTCCTTGGCCCCAAGTGATTGGACCATATACCCACTAATGGACTATTCAAGGAGAGGAAAGTGCCTAGAAGTCAGCTGTTCAGCTTCTCTGGAGACCTAACCATTAAACCCCAGCCCTGCAGAAAGGTCCGTGAGATGGGGTGATTCCTTGGTGCAGAAGCTGGTCCCCACTCTGCACTGTGTTTCTGTTTCCGCCCTCCCCTCCACCCCTCTTACACTTCCCACACTCCTTAAGGCGGCTAGTAGTCACCATCCTGCGTTGACTCTTTCATTCATATGTTCTTTGTAGTCAAGAAAAATGAATGTTGAAAACACAATTGAGATATTTCAAGCAAATGGAGAACCTCCCTTGAAATTTGTTGCAGAAACAGCGCTGTGCAAACAAACTACTGGGAAGCACAGCTTCGCAACAAACAGCAGCTGCCACCGTTTGTGGGTTTCTTTTTCCCTTTTCCTCATTTGTTTCTAATTCGTTTTTAATAAAACCTGCTGCCTAGCAGTTGAACGGCAATTTGTCTGTCCTGTCTTGAGGCCTCTCAGGTGGCCTTGACAGTGTCTTTTAGCAATGGGGGGCTCGGGGGACGGGAGCTTCCCGCTGTTGTGTTGATTCACCGTTCCTTCTGGAACTGCGTCCACACCTCCCTGACCAGGTGGGGTAGCGCTGGACCTTCTGGACGCTTAGACCTGTCGGGATGCAAGTCTAGAGTGTGGTTTCTTGCCCTTCTGGCTTTATAATAATGGATATTGCTAATTCCCAGCTTTCTCAGTGACTAAGTGCATCAGCTGTTGGTTTTTGGGTTTTTGTTTGTTTTTTATTTGTTTTCCATGTGGAATCTTTGAGGGCACAGATCTAAGAGCTGTTCTTGGGCCTTTTTCACTAAAGACTGTGACTTTAAGGAACTCTGACTTGTCACATCCAACTCATTTGTCTCCTTCTGCGTGAATCGCACGCAGCCCCGAAGCAGCCCTTCTTCCTTCCTGAGCTGTTAGCGGTGTGGAATTCGTTAGCTTAAAAACTATGATGGGATATTAATGGATTGCTGACTACGTTCAAGGACTGGTGTCGGGCCCTCACTCATTCTTCACTGGAGCTCTGCTCGGTAGATGCCATCCCCTGTTTAATCTGCTCGGAGACCCAGCTGCCCTCCCAGGGTGTGGAAGGGGCACCAGCCACTCAAGGCGAAGCTGGTGTTTGACCCAGCTCGGTCCGAAGCCCTGGCTCAGGTTTTGCCCTCCCATCTCTCAGCCACTATAATAATATACGGCAGCATGCGCATAATAAAGTGTTCACCAGTGATAGTAGTTGCTTTTAGCCAGAGGTGGCAGTCTTTTATTTGTCCTTCAGAGTGTATTTCTTAAAAAGTGAGTTAGTGCCTAACATTTAAAAATTAGGATATTTCATATGAAAAGGAATGTTCAGTTTTTCTTGAAAAAAAAAAAAAAGAACCTTTAGACTGGAAATACTGTGTTCACAGGTTTATAGTACAACTGTTCCAGCTAAGTAACATTTCACACCCCACCCCCACGCCACCCAAAGGAGACCTGACTTCCTCAGGTGGCCACGGGCCTCAGCCGCCCTACTTCACTCTTACATCACTCCCCTGGTTTCCGTGGACTTTTAAGTTTGTGATTCTCGAGTTAGGCTTTTCAAGAAACAATTTCTGTCTAGTTAGGAATCAGTAGAAGTCAATGTCGGTTTCTGCCTCTGAGTTGAATTTTACAACCTTTGATTTTTCTTTTCAACTTTTTGGAATAGTGATTCAGTAAGAACAGCTTCAATTATCGGACATGTGTTGAGCATTCGAATGTTTGACTGACACTGAGGGTAGGCAGATACCTGCTTGGTGGTGAGAACATGCATAATTCTCCAATTTAGTTTGCATCCTAACACCTGCAGGTGCTGCGCAGGTGCCGCAGAAACTGGAGGCCACTTGCACCAGGGTATTTTGCAGAGGTGGCTTTGCAGAGAGGGGAGATGAGTCCAGAGGAAAACACTGGAGGAGGGGCCATTGTGTTGATTCCGTGGTGACCACCTAGGTAAGGTCGTCCCACAGCCTGGAACACCACGTTCTTAACCACCAGTGTTCACGCAACGAGCAGCTCAGAAATCTCAAGGAACAAGCGAGAACCTCAGAATGATGGGTCTCTCATTTTACCTCGATGTACCTGCAAGTGTATTTCCCTTTGGCAGTGAGAGATGTCAGTCTTTTCTATTGTTTCAGCAGAGGTCACGTCTCCTTTTATCTGGTTTAAACACATGTCATAGATGTGTAAAATAGAAACAAAACGGATTTTCACTAATTTCATAGCTGCAACTGGATTAAAATTTAATAGTGTTTAATATTAACACACGAGAGCCCCTAAAGCTAAAGTTGTTATTTGTGTATTTAAATAAGTATTTGCTTTCAATTAAGACAATGCTTGGAATATTGTTCGAATTTTTATTGCTTGTTTATTTTCTTTCAGGACCCTGCAGGGATCTTTGAATTGGTGGAACTGGTTGGAAATGGAACTTATGGACAAGTTTATAAGGTGAGTTCGATTTGGTTTGAACATGGTTTATGTGTGGTTTGAGTTCATGAGTGCTGAGTGGCAGTGCTGTCTGTTGTCGCTCTTGGGGGCCTCACAGCACATTTAAAATGAAATAGTGTGCTTTCTGATTGGCTCTCCATCGTTTTCCATGCACGTGTCATCCCGTTGCCTAAACTGCATTCTGGGGTTCAGGCCTTTCCCTTCGCGATGTACTACAGTGTTTGTGTCTGATACCTGTCCACACACTTGAAGTTCTTCAGGTGGTTGATTTCCTTTACTTTAATCATTGCCAGGCTGATTTTCAAAGGAGCAAAGGATGTTGTTTACTTTAGAAATTTAAGCTATTAAAGCATTATATCTGGAAATACAGATCTGTCACTGGCCTAGGGCATGAGTTTAATGAGTTTAGTGAACAGCGTTAGGAAAAAAACTGGCGACCTCACAAAGCAAAGGCCTAGTGTAGCAGTGGCTTTTTGCAAGATACAAAATAATGAAAACTTAAACTTGGATTGAGATTGAGCTGGGCAATAAGAAGTCCTCCTTGCCCTTTTACTAATTTTTGCTTACAAATTCACCCCCAAAATGCTTTTAAAAAGGTACTTTACCCCCAGGAAATGACCTCAAAAATGGTTGTTTAAAATGTGGGTTGATTCTTTTTCTGATAATCAAAAGAAATGGAAATGAACTGTTTTTAGACTAAAACTCAGGGGGTTTTAGTGAACGAGCTATTGAAACAACTGCCTTCAAAATAAACCATTTCCTTATGATCGTTTCTAGGGGAAACATCCATCATTTTCCTGAGTGCTAGCGATATTGGATATCATTTCCATTACTAATTATCCTTTGTTTTATTTTTAAAAATTCCTTCTCTGGGGCCTCAACTTCACTTAGTTGATTAAAATTATTCTAGAAGTCATCCAGATTGTAATATTTCCAATTGTACCATATGCCAAAAGTATACAAACACACATATATGTAAACATACATATGTATATGAATGTATATATGTATACACATACATATAGTGATCTTGAGAATCTTGTTTTTAAAGCACAGTTGTTAACAGATACATATTTAAACCTTAATTTACTGGAGGTACCCTTTGGTGTTCACTCCAGAGGAAATTTTTTTCCTTACAAGAAACAATTATTTCTTAAAATGTCAACCTCCTGTGATTAGACAGAATGTAGTCTACCTAAGATGTTCACTTGACGTTGATCCTGTCTGACAGAAGAAAGAAATGTGTCTCAGCAAATGCTTTTAAATACTTTCAATGAAGATAATTAGGTTGAAAGAATGTATTGTTGCATTTTGAGAAATTGGATTCAACTTGAGAATTAAGGTGAGGTAATGAATTAATCTCTGATTTAGGCAGAAAATTACTTCTGATTTGCTGTTAGTGTGGAGCAGCAACTCGGCAGCATGCTGCTGGCTCACGGTGCCATTCCGCTGCACTGTGCTTCCTGCATGTCACAGTTTGTGACAATACCCACAGCTTTGTCTGCTAGTCTAAGGGGCGGACTGTACAGTTTTGCAAGAGAAGAGAACAAAGATGTCCACTCAAGGATGAGAAAGGGTGGAAAATCCAGAATTAACCCTAACATCTTGTACCTGAAAACAAAGAGGAAACAAAATGGCAAGAGGTCTCAGATCTTTTTAGAGAAGAAAGGTTTTTACCAACCATGTTGTTAATGTTGTTGTTCTAAAGGGTGCCATTCTCTTGGTGGTTGATACAAAGCTTCGGCACCTCTCAGGCTGAAGGGAGACTGACTGCAAAAAATGGTCACGGGCTTTGGGACGGGAGACTTGGTCCCTTTCACAGTGCCAGGTGTTGTTTTGTGGCAGCACAGCGTTTCTGTGCGTTAGTCAAGTGAGAAAACAGTTAGAAATACTTTGGGGGCTTATAAAGACTTATCTAAAGGATTAAAACACCCCACCCAGTTACGAGTCCAGTTTTTAGGCAATGCAAGTGATATGAGGTGGCACGGGGTTTCTTGAGCCACTAACCCTGTTCTGCTGTGACCTTGAGTCCTAGAGCAGGGTGTCAGACTTGTTTTCACCGGGGGCCACATCAACCTCGTGGTTGCCTTCCAAGGGCCAAATGTAAGTTTAGGACTGTATGAATGTAACTGCTCCTTAACTAGGGGCAGGGAGCTCAGGGCTGCTGCCTGGTAGAAAGAGGGTTCGGGCCGGATTCAGCCCACAAGCCTCGTGTTCGCCACTTGTGTTATGAAGGATTAAAGCTCAATATAAACAGCAGAAATTGAACTCAAATACATGCAAACCTGAAGAAAAATAACTTAGGAAGTAATTGTTCACATTATAGGTTATATTTAACATTTATGGAAGAGGTATTTCTAAAACACTGCTGACACAAATAGTAATTGTATAGTCCTAAAAAGAGATTCCTATACAAAAAAATTCTATGATAAATATTTTCTTTGTATTAGGTATTTAAACCTTTGATTTTAGTTTCTTGTAAGTCAGCTTTTGGTATTCCTGGATTTTATATATTGAGGTATAATTTTATGAATAATTTTATGAGCATAGTCTTTATTTTATGGAAAGATTCATTAGGTTCATTTACATATTAATTTTTTAATTGATTTTAAAGAGAGAGAGAGGAAGGGAGAGAGAGAGAGAGAAACATCAACTTGTTCCACTTATTTATGGATTCTTGCATGTGCCCTGACTGGGGATTGAACCCACACTTTGAAATATTGGGACAATGCTCTAACCCATTGAGCTATTCAGCCAGGGGCCAGGGCTATGAGTTTACTTTTATAAACTTATAAAAATAAGTTCTGCCCTGGCTAGTGTAGCTCAGTGGATTGAGCATGGGCCTGTGAAGCAAAGGGTTGCTGGTTTGATTCCCAGTCAGGGCACATGCCTGGGTTGCAGGCCAGGTCCCCAGTAGGGGACACATGAGAGGCAACTACACACTGATGTTTCTCTCCCACTCTTTCTCCTTCCCTTCCCATCTCTCTAAAAATAAATAAATAAATAAATAAATAATTTTTTTAAAAAGGAAGTCTCCTTCTATAAAAAAAATAAGTTCTAAGGTAGTAAAAATTTCATTTTATCTACAAGTAGTTTTTAAGAAACATACATAATACAATAAATACAAAGTATTTGTAGACATAAAATAATATTTCCTGAAGTCTATCTGGATATAAGCCACATACATTTAGATATGGAAATATACATATTTTATATAAATGTCACTTAGTAATAACGTTTAGCTTTTCCAAGTTGCTTCTAGTCACACTCCCGAATCTAGCTTGGTCTGTCTGTTCTTAGAAGGCTATATTTGTTTATCTTCAGCATTTTGGTCCCAGGCGGTCAAGTGGCAGTTCTGTTTTTTACTTTCTTTATGGAATAGAATACCTAAACAATGAAGGGTAGTGTTCTACGTCAGGAGTTTTAACGAGGAAACCATCTTCCTGGGCCCATGGCTCCTGTTGAAAAACAAAACAACAGAAGGCACAGACCTGTTTGCCTGCAGTTTGGGCTGTTTATTAGGATGCCACCTGTGGTGTGACCTAACAGAATCCAGACACGCTTTTGTGAAGATAAAGTAATTATTTTAATAATTTGAAATAATTGTTTACTGCCAAAACACCACTAAATTATAGCCACAGATTTCAAAAATGAATGTTAGTTTATCTCATTTCTTAATTTGCCCTTTTGAAATATATATTGGGCCCTGGCTGATGGGGCTCAATGGATTGAGTGCCTGCCCGCAAACCAAAGGGTTACTGGTTCAATTCCCAGTCAGGGCACATGCCTAGGTTGTGGGCCACATCCCTAGTAGGGAGTACAGATAAGAGGCAACCACGCATTGATGTCTCTTTCCCTCTCTCTAAAAATGCATAAATAAATCTTTTAAAAAATTAGGTGTATGTTGGTCATCACAGAGATGGAGAAGATGTAGTTTAGTCCCAGGTGGTATTATGAAATGGGAACCCAGTAGATTCCTCAGTATTGCTCAGGTTTGTCTTGAAACTTCCTTAAGGTTGTAAAAGATGAAGTAAAGAGGCTATCTTGGCAGTTATAGTGCTCGTGAGAGAGAGCGCTGTGAGCGTGTGTGTGTTTTCGGAGGGTTGCAAAGGTCATTACAGATCATCTAGTCCAATCATTTTGGCACCAGCTGCCTATTCAATCCATTCTTTTAAAAAATATTTTATTTATTTTTTGGAGATGGGGGAAAGGAGGGAGAAAGAGACGGTGAGAAACACTGATGTGTGAGAGAGTCATTGATTAGCTGCCTCTCACACATCCTCAACCAGGGACCTGGCCCTCAACCCAGACGTGTGCGCAAATCTGACCGAAAATTGAACTGGTGACCTTTCAGTTCACAGGCTGATGCTCAACCCACTGAGCCACACCAGCCAGGGCTATTCAACCCATTCTTGATCACCTCCAGTCACATGGCACTTACTACCTGCCAGTTAGTCCATTTTCCTACAACTCTCTTTGAATGTTCCTTATCACATTGAGCCAAGATTTTGGCTTCCTAAAATATTTACCATACCATCAGAACTATTTAGAAAAGAGAAATTACATCTTCTTCCATGAGAACAGAGTCCTTCTGATATTTGAAGAAGACTTCTTCCTACTTCCCCAAATGCATTCTTGTGTGTCCTGCTCTCCGGACAAAATGACCTCTATTGTTTAATTAATTCTTCATATTCCACAGACCTGAGGCCCCTCATTATTCTCAGATGAGGATAGTTTCAGGACATAAACCAAGATAAATGTACAGGATCCAACACCTGTACAGGATCCAAATGCCCCTTTTATTGTAAAATCTTATATTATAAACCATAAGCATGTAATTTGGCAATACAATACCACACTCAAGCACATCACATGACATTTTAAGTGAAATGGTCAAATTAAAACTGTAAATTGTGATGCCCATATTGTTACCCTACCAACCACCCTCAAGCAGGCCTTCCTTCTGTTGGAACCTGCACTAAAAATGATGCTTTATACTT